CTTAATTTATATCTTTAAAATATAAATTAAATAAATTTTATATTAATTTCAATATAAAAATTAATAATATTTTTCTTCATATCAAGTGGAAAAACTTGATAAAGTAGAAGGAAGTTCAATTCCCTTAATGATATTTTCAATTCTTTTCCGCTTAAAAATAAAAGAAGTATAATTTTAAGTAAAAGATATCAGTTCTAAAAGTCATGCTTTAGTTGCAAAAGTGATTGAAAAGTTACTTGAAGTCAAGTGTTCGAACCTTGGAGGTGGTAAATTTAAAAAAATTTTCTCAAAAGCTTTGAACCCACCATGGAAAAAAAAAAAAACCACGGTGAAAAAAAAAAAACCACCGTGGAGTGGAGCAATTCGTCGGGTGGGTTTACACGAAATTAACAAATCCTATCAGGGGTATTTAAGTAATTTGCTATGTGAACCATCGCAACACAGTCCCTTGTGCGCAATGTGACCTTTTCAAACTCTTTCCTATTGCCTCCAGCTCTCCGGTGAATACACACACTACTTCATAGATCATTTCTTCGTTCCGTTTTCGTTTTACAAATCGCCCGCCTGGCGATCGTGTACGACACTACGACTTGCTGTTGGGATCAATAGCTGCATTGTACGTGTTCATAGTGCCATATACCAAGGTTGAAGAAAGCTTCAACTTTCAGGTACTTTGATTTTTTGCTGTTTCTTGATTCTTTCTAAAAATTTTCCTCTGTATATTCTTATGTGAGAGAGATGTCTCGATGTTTCATGAAAGATTGCTTCTTGTTGCTGAAGAAAAACTTGGAGAAAGGAGACGAGGGTCTAAATTTTCTTTTGAGTAACCTAAGTACCCCTCTCTTGTTTCTAACTGTTCTGCATCCTTCGTCTTGGATTTGTGTTTGTTTCCCGAGAAAACTGCGCAGAGATAAGAAAAGAAAAAAATGTGATTGTGTTCAATTTGATAAATGTATTGCAGTTTGATGAAATTTCTCTTTTCTTGGCTCTGTATTGCGTGGTGAAAAACAGGGTTATGTCCAGTTTGATAAAGATAAGAAAAGATTGCAGTGATTCTGAGTTTGTTTCTTGACTTTTCGTTTGAGGGTTTGTGTTGGCCAAAGTGCCTGCAAATTATGACTCAGTTTCTGTTGGGGTTTAATCT